GCCATTAAACTTGACCAAAGTACAGTAGCTGATTACTTTGATTTTACCGAGTTTTTCAATGCGAAGTGTGTTACTGGAGCTCAGGCTTGGATGGAGACATTGATGGGTTCTATACCCGCGTGTGCCCCATCAATATTTCATTGAAAATGTCTGAAATTTTTTCTTGTTCAGGGCCAGCGAGTGAAAAAGATCCTCTATCCGGAGCAATGTGCAAATCTTCTCGAAGGTGATACAATTGTTGAGCTGGATGGGCGTAATGTTCGAGCTGTACCCCATACGCAACTTGTCGACATGCTCAGGGAATGTCCAGTTGGACATCGAGGGCGGCTCGTAGTCCGACGAAGTTCGCCGAAGCACAGGTGAGCACTATATTGTATTCTTGCAGAACTTTCGTAAAGGGTTCCGCCTATCATTACCACAATTCTTTTGATCCCGGACGAATCTTTTCTATCACTGTTTCGGACAAGCCATGCTTTTTACTCCGATATGTCCTCTAGTAACTTGGGTAAAATCCCTCAATTTCCATCTAAAGGGCTTGTAGGACCAGAAGTGTCCTCTTCGTACACTGTTTGATACCATCATCATTCTCATCCTGCACCCCAAGTCTCTGAAAGACCCTTTGAAGGAGAGGAGACTGCGAAATCGCTTATCGGTCACAATTAGAGCCATAACCAATCTTCTTGAGGTGTGTTAAGCACTGGTCTTCTAGACTTTTAGTGGCGGTGCACTTTGACGCAGCTTGCGATGGAAGTAAGGGGCGGAATGTCCATGTACAAGTCGTCCTTCCCGAGTGGAAAGAGGCTAGAAAACGAAGGGTGAGAGAGCACAATGGCATAACCACGACAGACAAGGAGGCCGGCATGGGCCTACTGGCCACCCATGAGCCTAAAATGTGAACTTATTGTGATTTGTTTATCATTTTTCAACTTCTGGATGTAGTCAAGCCTGTGCGGTCGCCTACAAGGTCATCTTGCACGTTCAAGAGGTCTCAGCTTTAGTTTTTCCCAGCCCTGCCTTCGAAGTGATGAGCCGGTCGCCCGATATGGGTGGCGAAACGCGAGGCTAAAGGCTACTTACATGTTTTGAGTAGTTCCAGTGCGACAGCTACTGTTTAAACGTCATAGTACTGTTTGGAAAGTGTCAAGAACGCTGAATGACGCGCAGAAGTTAGATCCTTATGGTACTGAAACCTGCATCTGCCGCTGACCGAGTGTTATCCATTACGCTGCCGAAGCAACTATCACCCCTCCCAACTCAATGGCATGGCACACAAGAACTATACCCTTGTAGTTATTTAGTTAATTGTAGTGACAAGTCACAGTTTGACGTAAAGTAGCAAAATTCTGAAGAAGAGTTTTGAAATTCCAGAGACAGTGAGAGTACATGCGTTACTTGGACAGGTTTTTCAAATACCACTTGGTGAGAGCCAAAGCAAGAAGTAAGTGGGGAAAATTGGCTATCCCGTGGAACCAGTACGATTAGTAAACAAGCTGAATAGTACTGTAGATTGGACTAGTTTTTGCTCGGAAATGGTTCTCGTCGCCCATTCGTAGCTTTTTTTCCTTGCGTGAATCGCTCTTATATGACGACGTTGTTGAGTAGCTCTTGAGAGCAGGTTGGCATGGCTGACTGATGTCTGTGGTATGTGAACCCAAGCGGTCTTTCAACAACGAACTGGAGAAGTTTCTCTTTTTCGTTTACCCTGAGCCTGCTTTTGATCACGACTTTCTCTTTACCATATTGTACTGGGGAATGAACCACTAGAATACGCGTAGAAGCGACTAAACTGCTTCATGCAGATAACTTCATACTTTACTAATGTTGTTGCGTTCCTGATCATATTAAGCATCTGTTTTTTATACATGGTATTCGAAATACGCACCGTCTTCTTCACTGGACCTGATGAGGCGCGGCGAGGGGATGAGTTTGACGCGGGGCCAGCTCACTTCGTTCTACTTATTCGGCAAGCTGAATGATTATGTAGTTCGTGTCAATGTTTTATACCATTAATGCTGGCTTATCAGCTTCAACAGCTGGTGGAAAACAGGTTGGCGCTGCGCCAAACCCAACCTTACTGACACGCCCCATCGTCCGCAACGAAGGAAACAGTACGAGTCCTCAGAGAAGAGATCAGTCAGAACTTTTTACTAATCTCTTCCTTCTTTCTGTGCACGTTCTAAGGATTCGAGTCATAGTTTTATGGGCACAGAAAGAAAGCTGATTGTGAACTTTCACTAGTCGGCTGAGCACTACGTCGCCGTACTGCTTTTTTGAAGCTTCCCCGACCCAATACGTAGCAAAAGTCAATTACGTAGCGCACTCCGAAATCTTTGGGCAGCGCTTATTCTTATCCCTTTCATTCCATGTTGATGTCCAAAATGCTGCTCATACCTTGAAGACCTACTGCACTCACCCGCGTGGATCGCGGTACTAATCATGTGTAAGGAGATTCCGCAGAGCTGCAGTAGCGTGCCGTTTTCCCCGATCAGCAGTGCACGGGAACGGGTCCGAAGGCTGGTCGTACTCAGGTTCGTCCCCCACCGCTTTCACCGCGTGGCCAGACATACGCCTAACCATAGCTAAACCTGCTGCACTTGTGTGTGCCTTCTCACTTTCAGTTGAGCGAGAGGTGCTTGTTTCGCTGCGGGACTCTGGTAGCGTCACATGTGCTGCTCATTGTGGCCTGTGCGTGCGGGGTGTGGAGATGCATCTGAGTATCGTTACCCTGCAGCCCCGTTCCTGAGTCCACTTGACCGGATAGGGCTGCACTTCATTGTAGCTACAGACCCAGTGTACTTGCACATGGAATGGGCGATCCTAGAACGTGGATGCAGTTATTCTTCAGTATTTCAGTGTTTCTCAGAAGGAACTCATACCCTAATGTCTTCCCGCTCATAATGTTCCTCATGTCTGCACTGTCAGATCACCTCCTTTCCGTGTTGACCCAATGATTGCTTGGATTTCAGATCACGAACACCAGCCGCTGAATTCCGCTACGGTGAGCAAACACGATCCACCACGCAGTCGACAGTTTCACCGCGCTCGAAAACTCCTGCCCCAACTCAGCGCCAAGAATCCGATCCGAACATCCCAACGTCTCGAGCTCAGACGCTTCAAAGGGTAGGATTTTGGGCATATCCGTCGCACTTGATCTTTACCGCAGTTATTCCAGCAACCTAATGTGACTCAATCTTTGGATGCTTGGGACGGAGCGACTGCGGTAGGTTCCCGAATGCGGCCTTCATCAACAACCATCGGCTTCGCCACGCCCAACTATATGCCGATCAGTGCATTTCAGTTCAACAAGTGAGTGGTATTATTTAATTTTGCTCGTTTTGAATTTTTTAATGTTTCCGGCTTTTCGCTGCAATGAAGTGGAATAGACCCTGTAAAACGTTTCTATTAAAAATCTGTAGATAGCCATGGAAACGAAGGATTAATAATCCTTAACCTAATTCCCTTCAACTATGCAAGGAGTAGAAGCAGCTTTTCTTATCTGATTTTATTGCAAAGCAAGTGAAATAAAATTTCAATTAGCCTACCGTACGCATCGTTCGGAGGTTAGGTACATGTACTCCACATCCCTGAAACTCGGTAGGCGTGGCTGCGCACTCTTTTCGAAGTATGACGTGGAATGAGATACTACCTCTGAGACAACTGCCACTTTGTCTTGTGTTGAACAACACAAGACAAAGTGGCAGTTGTCTCAGAGGCATGATCACGATTGTCTCGAAAGGAAAATGTTCTTGTAAAAGCGCAGCCACTGCCACGTTGAAATGATGCACGCAGCCACGCCCACTACATCTCAGGGATTTGGAATATCTCTTCGTTGATAAGGCTTTCGGCGCTCAGTTTCCTGCATTTGAGTCTTTGCTGGAATAGTATGGATACAGCTGTCATTTTCAGGCCCAGTGATTTGATCACGGTGAACCTGATTCGAAAACCGAATGGATTCGGATTCCGCCTGCTTGGTGGCAGCGAGGTGGGTTATCTATCTTCTTTTCTTCGTTTTTATTGGGTGGTCTGTGGGCTTAATATTTTTGGACGTTTTATAGACTTATTTCCCTCGGGAAAAGGGGGTAACTCAAAAATTGCTGAAGGAGCCTCTAACCAGGAAGACTAACCCGTAGTCCATTTCTGAGTAATTTTAACTTTGTCGTTCTTCTCACCATTCTTTTCGGATCAGCTTCTTGAATTTCCATCACGTGGCTGAACTTTATATTTAATGGATTCAGAGGAAATCGTGGCATAACGGTCGCTAGTTTAGACGAACACGCTGTCTGTAGACTGTCGCGTCAGGTGGTGCCTAGAGAGGCCGCAGCAGCTGATGACGGCCGAATGCAAGAGGGCGACGAGATCATCGAGATAGACGGACGCAACGTCGAAGGTGTCAGTCATGTGGAAGCCGTTTCACTTCTAGAGCACGCCGCTCATAGCAGACATGTGAAGCTCGTTGTGCCGGCGAGCCCGAAATGGTTGGTTCTTAGTCTTATATTAGACTGGCCGTCCTTGTTGGGGCTTCGAAATTCGTACCAGATCTTGTTTGGAATTTTCGAGACCCGACGTTTGTTGAAAGCCTGCACGCGGGGAGCATTCTGCCCCTCTCCCTGAATGAAGAATTTCTGCCCCTCTCGCTATGCGAACATAGCATTCGCTTGACGCCAGTTTTTTCACGTATCAAAAAAGGTCTGCGGCGGCCGACCCATCGCGCTGGCTTCAGGGGTTCGCTTCAGGAGGTAGTCATATTTATTCAGGGGGTCAGATTACCTTTTCTGGCAACCTTCTGACCAAACGCGCCGCGTGAAAAACTTCGAGCAGTTCGGCGTAGGGTGGGCCACCTTCGCTGTTTGACTAGTTCCCGTTTACTAGTCTTCCTGTGAAGATCTGTGAACTCTTGTGAAGGTTGAGCAAGCTCGTCGAGGTCCCATGGCAAATGGTATTTGTGTGCTATTTCATTGCTTTACAAGAGTTATCAGGTGTCTCCAATAACTTTGCTGGAATCGTGATTTCACAAGATCTGCAGGTGGCTTGGTCTCTCGACACGCCAACGGGAAGTAGCAAAAGTGGAGGATGGTTTCCCCTCTAAGCAGAGCTACACCGAATTGCGGTCAAAAATACACCGAATTTCTAAGAGTAGAAGAGTAAGGGGTAAATGGTGCATTCACTAAGAAATTATTAGGCAATAATTATATAGGTTTTGACCGTTTGAGTAAATAAGGGGGATCGTCGTGGCGTCATCAGATTGATGTTAGCGTCGCTCCAGAAACGTATCCCATAAAAAATGTCAACTAGAAGAAAACCAAGTATTCGGCGCTGATCAGTCCCACTCTATGATGCGCCGATCCTTCTCCTTCCTTTCAGCATAGGACAGTATGAATGCGATTTGGTTTTACAATTAATTGTTTAGAGTTTGTATCCCCATAGAGATGTCTCGTACCACTTTCGAGATCCCAGCGATGGAAGAATTGCTTGGCATGAGCTAGGTTCGCTCCAGTACCTGACTTTAAGTACGTCTAGTAAGCTGCGCTACTTGTCACTGCACCACATCCACCATCTGTTTTGCAATTACTCACCTATATTTGCCCGTTGCATAGTGCGTTTCACGGTTTGTGTCCAATTCTCATATCAGGTTGTCACTTACTGTTGGCGCTAATATTATGAGCGCAAAGCAGGGAATAACAGATGTGAAATCTTAATAACTATAGCGGCGAAGACTCCGATTAAGCGCAGTGAATGTGAACGCTCTGTTCCTTTTGCACCCTGCTTGAACTGGAATCCCCACCAATCTAACCTCTCCCTTCATCTCTTCAAGTCTATTCTGGTTTGATGAAAAGCTGACTTAGTTTTCGTTATTTCCCACAGTTCAGCGTGAAAGTCGATGCTTGGCGCATCCTAGCGGGACTAAGTGAATGAAGCAGTTCACTCCCGCAGTGTTTCCGAAAAGCTCAAGCTGTTCTATTTTTCAGAAGCATTCCTCAAGTAGCGAATATTTGTAGAATTATTACTGCAGCAAGAGGCTTCGTTTACTTTATATTGTTTCTCCGAATGTAAATTTCAGACGCAGTGCGACGACAGTCTCTCCATGGAGAACGCCCTTTGTCGGGAATATCTGCAGCTAATTCTGGAGAGTACGATGTTACTTTGAATCGAAGTGACACCGACGGTTTTGGATTCATCATAATCTCATCATTAAACAGAAATGGATCCACGATAGGTAAGCCTTACTTCC